CATCAGGCGTGATGAAGGTGTTGGCACGTGGAAAGGTCTAGGGGGCTGCATGGCTGGGGGGAAAGAGGTGTGACTGGTGAATACTGCCGGTCGAGGACGACCTGAAAGGTTTGCTTATTTTGCCTGCCGTCGTAGTTGTTTGGTATCGTCAAATCAGGGTTTGCGCGTCACATGGTCAGCAATGGTGCTCGCATACGGCACAGTCCATCAGTCACGACATGCGGCGCAGTCCTGTGCCGTCACCCTCCTACAGAAACAGGACGACGTGATGTCGACGTCTGCCACCGTGAGGAGCGCATTCAACGTACCCTCGACGGCGCGCGCCTCGTCCGACCTGCCCAGTCGAACAAGGCTCTCGTGGTATCCGTGCAGCGCCCACACGTTGCCGGGATGCTGCAGCGCGCGCGGCAGCCTCTCGGCGCCGTGGTCGTCGATGCCTAGATCGGCCGCGTACGCGGCCAGCGCCTCGGCGGCGCGGCGGCGCTCGAGGAGGAGCGCGCCCTGGGCGTGGCGCACCGGCTGCATCCAGACCCAGGGCTCCTTGTAGGGCAGGGCGTCGGGCAATGTCGACGGCCTCGGCGATCCGCACGAGGGGCGTCGTCGCAGGCGGCTGGGCTCTCGCGGAAGCAGATCTCGACCTCGAGCATTGCGGGCCGCGACGGCGAGGAGGTCGGGGGGCCGTGTTTTTGAAGAGGGGTGCGCGAGGCCGGGACGCGGAGGCGGGCGGCCAGGAAGAGGGCCCTGCGTGGTGCGGGCGCGGGACGTGTTGCCGAGGGCGGCGTGGGCGAGGGCTTTGGCGTAGAGGCGAGTCGCGTTTGTGACGCAGAGGAGCGAGGCGTCTTCTTCGTACTCGTCTGCGTCTGGATTGGCCGGGGGCGCGCTGGGCGGATCGGGCATGGTCGGCAGAGCGAGAATGTCGTGCCAGCGGCCGAAGCGGACAAGCACGTGGGGACGCAAGGCGAGAAAGGCCTCGAGGCGGTCGGCCATGGGCGGCGAGGGGATGCGCAGCAGGGCCGCGGGCAGGGAGGCCTCGAGGCGGCGGCAGGCATCGAGGGCGAGGGCCGACTGGCCGGAGAAGAGGGCAGCATAGACGAGAAAGTGGTAGTCGTGGCTGCGGTAAAGGGTGTAAAAGTTGAGGGGCCCGGCGTGGGCGAGGTAGCGCTCGTCGGCGGCGGCGGCGCGCGTGTTGGCCTCGGCGGCAGCTGCATAAGCGCCCGTCAGGATGTCGAGGTGGGAGGGCATGTGGAGGAGGTGGCCGGCATCGGGGACGAGGGTGCGCAAGTTGTCAGCAGCAGGGAGGCCATGTTCTGGGTGGGGCGACATCTCGAGGAGGTGAATGTAGAGGTGCAGCAGACCCGGGTGCTTGGCGCCGCCTCGTGGAGGGGCACCGGCGTCGACGGAGGTGGCCGAGGCGGCTGTGGTATCAGACAGACCGAGGGCGCGGTCGAGGATGGCCCTCATCTCGAGCGTCTGGGCGCCAGGCGTAGGTTCGCCTGTCTTAAGCTGCCACATGTCCCAGGGGTGGAGGTTCATGACGGCGTCGACGTAAACAGTGATGACGTCGAGATCGTCGGGAAACTGGGCGTGGACAGCCTGCATGGCCTGAGCAAAGGCGAGATTCCAGGGCTCGCAGTCGGCGTCCGGTTTGGCCTGAGGATAGCGACTGAGGACGGCGGCGACGAGGGCTCGCTCCACGGGCGTCACAGCACCGAGATGAGACTGTGCCTGGAGCGCAGCGTCGTGGCCCTGACGCACGACACGCGCGAGCTCGTCGGCGTCGAAGAAGGCCCAGGGTTTGTTGTAGTTTGGGCCGATGCAGTAGGCGAGGCCCCAATAGGCCATGGCACAGGTGCTGTCATGCGCAATGGCGTGGCGGAAGCATTCGGCGGCTTCTTCGTGGTTGAAAGCATAGGACCAAACGAGGCCACGGTCGAACCATGCCTGGCATTGGGCAGATTGGGTGGTCACGGGGCGGGTGTATGTGCCGAGGTCGAAAGGGTATTCGTCTGTCATGTCCATGCCCATGCTGTGAGGGTCGGTGAGTTTAAGTTCTGTGTTCGGATGGTTCGGGGAGGACACACTCGGGATTGTTTGGGGGGCAGACCAGCTTGAAAGGGGGGACAAGATTGATGATGGATGGTTGATGATGGATGGTGGATGGTGGATGGCGGATGGCGGAATCAGGCCATGTCGTCTGACTTGATGGAAATTGCCGGAAGGTATTTGAAGGTCCAGGCACGACAAGGGAAGGAGCGTTATGAGGCGATATCACGTTGTGGCTGAACCGAAGCGCCTCAGTTGAGTGCCTGCCGCGGTCCTCGAGATGGGACGTGACGCAGGCAGGCACAGGCACCTATTACCCCTCTTTCGTCACGTGGCTCACTCGTTGTGGGAGATGCTTTGCTTTGGTGCCAAGAGTACACTGATGAGCAAAAAAACGAAGAGAAGAAGGATTGCAAAACAGTGCAGGCTCAGTCATTCGTCAATGCTGTCTTCATCAAATCATCCACTGAGGCCTAAACTTGTCTCAGTCTGCTGGTCAGTTCTGGGCCTCAACGCGGGGTACAAGCCTGGGACTGGAATTGAGATTGGGGACTGCCGGCTGGGCCCCACTACCCGGAGCCGTTCTACCCCGCTCTACCGGCAGCCTCCGGCCCGCGAATATACAAGATGCCGGACACGATCATTCGGCTTGTCCGCCACAAATCAATCTCGAGGCATCTCAAGCCACCTATCAGACTCTTTCTCTACAGCAGAAATCATCATAGCCAAAGTTTCGGCTTAGCCGTCTTTGTCAGACAGCCCTGATTGCTGCTGTCATGGCGTCAGCGGAGGTACCCCTCCCAACCCAGCGGCATCGTCGGAACTTCCGAATCGGGATTGGATCGGACATGCGCCCAGCCGCCCAGCCGCTCATCAGCCCAGCAGCCCTGCCCACCTCGTCCTTGTCACCCGTCGGGGCGATTCCCGCCCAGCGAGTGTTCAGCCTGGGAAACCCTCCGAGTGCGTCCACAGACAGCCGGAATCCAGGGTGCTGAAATCATTGGACTACAAGGCACATCAGCAAGTGCCGGACGGAGCCAGCCACTGGGAGCATGCTCCGCCCCTGAAACCCGACCTCGGGATTCACCTGCACACGTATGACGCTGACCAGGCTGGTCTCGCCCCGGCCTTGTCGGAAGCCACGAGTTTGGAAAAGCCTGCGGAGCGCGTTGGCGTATCTTGTGCTTCGCAACGTGTGTCTCGTGAAGACTTGTCTGGGGTGGATTCCTGAGGTTCGTTCTTCTTTTTCTTTTTTTTAATGCCGATCCGCTTCTGAACCATGTCTCGCCCGGCGTTCGTCCTCACACGTCAGAAACTTAGTTAGTCAGTGTAGCATTGCTGATTATATATTCGTTCCAGGCACCACCGCCTGTCTGCTGAACCCGGGAGTCTCAGAAGTCCGTTTCTTTTGGCCTTGTCTCAACCGTTAGAACCCATCCGCTGTTCTCTCTGTACCAACTTTGGTACTAACCTCACTGTGCGACCTTGCTGTCCATCTGGCCTGTGTCACTCTTGGATGCCGATCACGCATTCCAATAAGAAGCCGAGAACCCCCAGAATCTCACCCTCAGCCCACCAAAGAAGCTCTGCGCTGGGGCATAAGAACACGTCCACATCCGTTCCAGCATTCTCTCGAAGCCTCAACTGAGACGAGTCTCTCTGTCTCTCGTCTCCCTCTGACCACACCCACTTTGATCACACAGAGACACGACTAGACCCGGCTGGCTGTACCAACAAACCCGAGCCCGACATTCTCCCCCAAACTCCGAAACACAGAATGCCTTCGTGGCTGACAAGGCTGACCGGCGGTCAATGCGACGCCTATATCAAGATTTCGTATGCTTTACCGCCCTTGAATCTTCTGCCCAGCAAGTGACTTCTCAGCCATCTGCTGGTCTGCTGCCCAACTCGTCCGAGACATCGTTTCGCTAACGCCGATCGCAGACCCCAGAGCGACTTTGTTATTTTGAGCGGCTCTGAACGCGAGGCGCCGGGCCAGTACATCCGTGGCAAGGTCACCCTTTGCCTGCCGTCCGCGCAGCGCGCCAGGGGCGTGCAGCTGCAGTTGGTCGGCTATCACAGGACATCGTATGTGGCATCGAGCCTTCTTTGTTTGCATTGTTTGCATTGTTTTCGGTAGGTGGCTGGTATATCGAACACAGGCAGCTGACATGGCCTTCAGCGACCACGACTCAGACCTGCATTCCGCCTCCTCCACGACGGGCGTTGTCTACCAGCACATTTGGGCGCCGTTCCTCATCGACGACGTCCCCTCGGCATCTCTCGGCGGGCCCCTGCCCAAGGGCACTTACGAGTGGCCCTTTGAGCACCTCATCCCGGGCCACGTCCCCGAGACAGCCCGCGGCTGTCCCCGCTGCAGCATCACCTACCACCTCAAGGCGAGCACCGTCCGCGACGCGCCCGACGAGACATCGCCTCAGGCCATGAAGCCCATTCGTATCATCCGCACCCTGCCGAGCTCGGCCTTTGCCCTCATGGACGCCGCCACTGTCGAGGGCACAAGCACCGGCCGCCTCGTCTACTCCCTGTCGCTCGCCCACAAGGCCATCGCCCTCGGCACCGTCCTGCCTGTCGACCTGCGCTTCACCGCCCTCGCCAAGAACATCACCCTGCGTTCCGTCCGCTGCTTGCTGCGCGAGGTCCACTCGCTCGAGACACAGGTGGCCTCGGGCTGCCCCGGCGCCGGGACGACGACCAGCACCGTTGAGGGGTATCGGCTCGCGGCGGCGTGGGACCTGGCGATGGACGACAAGGGCCGCATCGGTCGGTTTGACGGCGCGGCGGGCGAATGGCATGTCCAGAGGCGGCTGCCGATGCCGACGACGCTGATCAAGTGTTCGCCTGATGTTGATGTGCGCGGCATCAAGGTCAGTCACCAGGTGGAATTCGCCGTGACTTTTGCGGAGGGACCTGATATGATTTCGAATGTGAGTTTTTCTTCTTGGATGCGTCTCATCCCCCCGCTCTTATCTGTTGCTTGTTGCCTGTTGGGTTGGTTGCTGCCTCTTGCATCTTCCTCTCTTGCTATGCCGACCTAGTATATCGGTCGATATGGTCCCCTCCCTCATCACTCTCCCCGCCAAGGTTGCCTCCCCCTCATTCCCATGTCGTTAGCCGCGTGTTCCCCATCCCAGAGAGCTGACTGGTGCAGTTCCGAGCCACAATCCCCATCAAGCTCTACATCTCTCCCAACGCCCCCGTCGCGGGCTCGGACTACTTCATCTCGAGGCGCCCCGACGTCCACGTCTGCGCCGCCGGCGCCCTTGAACAGCAGCATGGAGGTGCCCCCCTGCTACGGCCGCCACAAGCTTGGACGAGCTTGCTCGAGGACGACCCGACCCTCCCTCGTTTTTGCAGCGTTACGATCCCGTCGCGCCGGCCTATGACTTTGCCGTGCCGGCTTCAGCGCCGTGTGCTGGTGTGGGGGCGTAGCGTCTGTCTCTGGGCAGGTTTCTTTTTTTTTTCTTTTGTTTATGTATACATGATGTATGTGTGGAGGGGAGCGTTGCTTTGTATCGTACCAGGGTTGCGGCGTCAGCATGGGGAATACAATTTGCATCATATCGTAGTAGCATGCATCAGATGTTAGAGATGCCGTTTTCCTTCCCTTCCATGACCTTTTTCCTTTCTCCTGTTCGAGACTGCGTCATGTGTAGCGTGCTGGCAGTATAGTAAACCACGACCGCCAGGATAGACATGCTGTCCCCCGGGCCGAGGTCCGCCGGCGCCAGTGTCGTCGGCACAATGACGCCGGACTGGTCGTAGGCATATGTCGGCTGGCCGGCCATGGTGACGTGCACGTCGGGACTCTGGGCCATGTACTCATTGTCGGCGAAGGCGGGCGCCTGCGTCGTGACGACGAGCGCCGAGCTCTTGGCCAGGTCGTCTTCGGCTTGTTGGCGCTGCTGCTGCTGTTGTTGCTGCTGCTGTTGAGGCACGAGCTCGGCCGGCTCGTCGACGTCGCGCTTGATGGGCCTCGGTGTCGTGCTCCACCGTGCCTGCTGCTGCGCGAGGACGTTCCGCGGCGTGCTCGGCTTGGCGGGGATACCGGTGAACACGGGTATGTCGTCGGCGAGCTCGGGATACTGGTTGAGAAAGTCGGCGTTCATGGTCCAGGCCTTGATGTCGCGGATGCGCTCCTCGAAGAGCGGCGCCAGCTCGAAGCGCCCCGTCGCCGTGTTCTGCATGAAGCAGTCGTCAAAGCCAAACTGCCAGACCAAGGTGAGGTTCGAGCGGAAGAGCTCCCAGAACTGGTTCGTACAGTAGCGGTGTTGCGAGAAGACGAAACGCTCGCGGATGCCGGGCCTGGTGGGTTTCCTGTCAGTCGTCGTCGAGATTGTACCAGGATATAGAGGATGGATGGTTCGAAGGAGTGGTTGGGACATATGTACAAGACAAAAGCAAAGAATGGCAACGGGGAGCGGGATGTTCGAGTACACACCAGACGAGGAAATCGATCGCATACGGATGTGGGATGGCCTGTTGCGAGGGTCTACTACCGGGTCAGCAACGCTATTAAAGCACAACTCTTTCAAATGGAGAAAATTGCCCTCATGCCATGGAAAGGAAAAACAGACCTCTTACGGTACCATCGTGGTAACGTGGCGAGGCGCTCTGGAGTGGGATCGCCGTGGCAACAGATGAGGAGGTGCATCATCCTCAACACGGCCAAGCGCTCGACGGCGCCACACTTTGAGAAGCAGATATCATCGAGAACACGCAGTTTACGCCATGAATCGGTCATCAGACCGGCCCGCTCGATGCTGTCCCAACCTTCAACGATGGCCCGCACCGGCGTGTCCTGGCTCGCGCGATCCTCGGCCTCAACATCTTCTGCCTCCAGCAGCTTGATAGACTTGCCCAGAGCGCTATTAGCATCGCGCCATGTGTTGCGGCCGCTTGCGGGGTGACCTGGGGGCGGCTCGATGATGGTGAGGCACTCGCATTGTGGGTGGCATGCTGATGGTGGCACCATATAGTGTTCTCCCGAAACGTTGGTCTCTGAAGAGAACTCCGAGTCGCTCCTCGGCATCGCGGTCGGATTCCCCGGCGGCAGCTTGTCATAGTCCTGCGACGAATATGGTGGCATAGCTGCCGTGTTTTGTGCGTGCTGGTGCTGCTGGTGCAGATCGGGATTCTCGAATCCCCAGCCGTATGCCGGCGGCGGCGGAGCAGACGGATGCTGCTGCATGCGAGGATCAGTAGGAGCATACGGTTCACGATGTCCGTGACGTGTCGTCAGCGGGCCGTGGTCGTGAACTTGGGCTTGGGCTTGGGCTTGGGCTTGTGCCTGCTGATCAAAGGGCTTGACGTCTACATTTCGCTCGCTGCGGTCACCCAGGGCTTGCATGGCGGCGACGACAGCACTGGACGATCCTTCTGCTTGGGCTGCCGTCAGGGCGTCGGTATGATGGCGGATCGTGGTGCCCAACGAGGCCAGGACGCCTACGAGCTTGTCCCGCTCCTGGGTTGTCTGCAGCAGGCGCTCCATGAGGTGTGACACCTCGGCGTTGGTGTCATTGTGCGATAGATGGCCAACGAGCTCCTCGAGGTGGGCGATGCGGCTCTTTGTGCGCTCGCGGGCCATGCGCTGGGCCTTGCGGTCTAGCTCACGCTTCTTGAGCCGCCGAGCCGTGACTTCGGGCGTCTCATCTTTGACTTCTGTCTTCGGTACCGCCGACATGATTGTGTGCGGTGCATGCGGTGGGATTTGGCTGGGAGGTGACTATACAGAAAGATGATAAGTGGTATCGTAGGCTTTGTGTGCCAGTATGATGTATAATGGGATGTGTATGTATGTATGTGGTCGTTGCTTCGGAGAAAACTCCTGGAGCTCTGGATTCGCCAGGACGGGATCAAGACGTGGGATGCTAAGCGGAGATATACAACCTCGCCGCCGGTACGCCGTTTAGCCTGGCGGCGAGACCTGGCTTGCTACCCTAGCTCTAGCTTGAGCATGTGCCGGCGGGCGTCAGTGCGGAGGCGAGGAATGGGGTGACGGCTAACCCATGTAAAACTAGCTCATCATAGTGTTTTGCTTGTTATCCCACCAGGCTGCTGCCACCCCTGGTGATTGGACGCCCCTGTTCAGGGTAATACCAGCTGGATGCACCGACGAAGTCTCAGTCACAGGAGTGGAGGGGGGATTGGTCTTGGAGGGGGACGGAAGCTCGCTGGGGAGGGTAATTCTGCGGTTGCTGTTGAGACTAAGAAAGAGAGAGAGAGAGTCCCACCGAGGAGCATGGACAAGGGACAAGGGACAAGGGCATGGGCATGGGCATGGGCATGGGCATGGGCATAGGCATGGGCATGTCGATCCCTTGCGCCTGGCAGCTGAACGCCTACTCTTCGAGAAGTCCACTCTTCTGAAGCCATGATGCTTGCTTGCCTTGTCGACTGGGATCCCAACACAACGGCTCGCTCGCACCCTGTCCTGGATCGTGCTTGGTTGATGACCTTGAACATTCCAACAACCACACGCCCCTCCTCTTCCCTTTAGAGAATCCCTTTCGCGAGCCACCCCCCAACGAACACCTACCACCCACCCCTCAACAGTCGAGTCTATCTCAACAGGCACAGCGTGGGCGTTGGAGGGAGCCATGTAGGATGCATGATCCACCCGGTTGATCTGCCCTCCCGCCGTCATCACCGACCATGCCCCTCTCCCCTTGCGACCCTGTGCAGGATCACCTTAGCGAGTGGAGCCCCCCCCCCCGGCGTGCCCCGGCGCGATGCTGCATGTTCGACCCGGATCAAGGGGTAGGGGATGGGCGCTGGATCCAAACCCAGCTCGGTTTGGCCGTCTCGCAAGGTGGTGGGTGGGTGGTCAGTAGTGCCCAGCGGCGATAAGGCATCACCTCTGGCGAGAGTCCTCTAAAGTGCGAAGCAATGCAAGCAGGTAGTTCAGATGTACGGGACCCATCTGCCTGTCACCGTCGGTCCTGGACGCTGATCTCGGAGATCTTGCAGGCTACTAGACCAAGAGCGGAGCGGTGTGGGCACGAGTCGAAACTCTGTCTACTGTTTGTCTCTATCGCCATCTCTTCTCTCTATCCATCTGCAATGCATAATTTCTCTGTAGGTACTGAATTAGATAGCTGAATACCGCAAAAATCGTTCTTGATAACTGACAAAGCCTCTGCTGATTCGGAGCCACCATGTTGTGAAGGCCGTCAGTCGCCCTTGTCGTCAAGCCTCATGAAGCACGTATAACATCTAGACCTGAACCGAGCACTGGGCTACGGTTATGGGGCCGAGGAATAAAACGGTATTGTTGAGATGCTGCCACCACTGGAAAGTCGAGAAGCCACATTCTTCCCGGCAGGCGTCTGCCTTTTAGTGCAGCCCTCTGCCGGTGTCAGTCACCTTGTACCCTGGGGGTGAGACTCTCGGGGTTCGGCGAAGTTCCAAGACAAAGAGGCCCATGCTTCCTGCCTTGGGTCGCGGGTGAGATCTCAGTAGGAGAGAGATAGACGCTGAATTGGCGTAGGGGGATAGATAGATTGTCAGGGCCCCTGCACCGTTCACGATTTCACATCAGTAGCTGACCTCACTTACCTGGCCCACGCATCTTGGCTTGCCTGATTTGCCACACGGGCACAGTACCGTTGGCTCGTATCGAGGTGGTGCATACGTGTGTATGTACATATTTGTGTGCGCGTGTCTGTGTGTGTGTGCGCGCGCGCGTGCTTTGACGGTGGGCGCAGCCAAGCCATGACCAACGTGACCAACAGGCTGACCTCTTGGCCAACTCGCACTCGCGGGCATTTCTGAGAAGCCCTGAAGCTATCCCCATGAGCTTATTAGCGTTACCGACCGCTAGGTTGCCAAGTACTCGTTACCCCGCTTGGGATACACCCGCAGGGGAAACTGGTCTCCAGCCATTACACCAAGCTTGAGTCGAGGTCCAGGTCAGTTCGGCCCCACGTCGCATCCAAGCCTATTGTGTTGGACGTTGCACTGAAGCTGCTCGGTACCAGGCGAGCAGGGAACACTCGCGAAAGAGGCGGGCGCCGTGGGTGGAATGAGCCCTTAGCACGTGTGCGAACACTTGGTAGCTACCCAAGTGGCCTATCTTGTCTATTAACGCTGTCTAGTCCAGAGTCCGTTTGCGCTCGACTACGGCAGGGTTCTCGCATTCGGCTCATTTTTCGCTTTCCCTAATCCGTTCCGTTGCCTCGTAGCATTGCCTTTGTTAGGTAAAAAGGTCGGATAACCCCCCCCCAAGCTAAGCCGCTTCGTTTCTAAGGCGGCGGCGCCAAGACCCGTTAGGCGCGCCATGGGGTGCGGAAATGATGCGACGGTGGCAAAACTGCGGGAGTGGGCGCCCGCTCGCCAAAAACCTCATAATTAACTGTGGCTCATGTGATATTTCGACGCCCATTCGTCAGGGCCGCTCCATTGTTCACACTGACCGACAAGAAACAACGCAGATCGTTACATGCGCATCTTCTTTTTTCCCGGCAAGAAAGGGTCAAGACTAGGGGACCTGGAGAGCTGGCCAGAAGAAGTAAGGATAAAGAAGGGCAAGGGTGAGCTTGCTGGGGCGTAAGCCATGATCACAGCCGTGGTCTTGGATCTGTTCTCTTTAGACATGCGGTGTATGTGTGTGCGAATGTAACTCTGTGATCAGTGCTTCAGTGTTGATATGTGAGCTCGGCTCCATTAAACGTGTCTTTTGGTAGATCCATTAGCCCCTTTGGAGTTGTCGGTATTACTTTGTAACGAAGCCAGACCCGGCACTCATGTGATCCTTTCGATCGACGTGATGGAGCATACATTGTCTCAAGCATGTGCATCTCTGTCCCGGCCGAGTCTACCGACGCGCCCCCTTTTGCGGGACTCGAGTGATGAACCAACACCCAACGAGGGAGGTCTCCAACATCTAGCCCTCTAGTAGAGGACGAGCAGAGTATCTGTTTCCGGACGTCCGAATGCCGCTCCCTTGACGGCAGCTGAGGATTCACTGACTACCTATCTATTCCTATGTCCACATCCGTCCGGATCCCATGTCTGAGGTATTCGGCGCGGTTGCGACTCTATGCCAAGGTCGGACCGAAGTCTGCAATCTTGTGTGTGTTTTTCACATGTGTCGTCTCAGCAATGACAGCTCAACATGGAACCCATGTGAGGCTATCTCTGCCGAGGACAATATCGAACGAGACTGGGTGATCACTGCCTATCGCGCCATGACGAGCGATGCTACCCGTCCGCATGGGGAAGCTCACCCGCTCTCAGACTTGCTTTCTCGCGCGGTCTGACATGCACTGGCCATGCAAGTGGTTATCTAAGAGGGAATGGCGACGCGAGGCAAGCCGGCTGTGATGGTGCGGTGGGATGCGTTTAGTCCCTCGACGTGCGCCAGCTAGCAGCAGCCAGGCCGCCTATCAACAGCCACACGCGCCAGTCTGGCGGCAACACACGGACGTGATCTACATCGATGTCCATAGTGGGTGATCTCAGTTCAACCTCGTGATTCGATGCCACCATGTTACAGTCTCACAACTGAGAGCTGAAGGCCAGATAAACTGGCGCCCCTACCACCCTGGAGCACACGTGGGCATCAGCAGACTTCCCCGCAAGTTTGACTCGAGGTGGCGGTGATTCTATTTCCCGTTCTGTACAGATCCTCGCGACGTAAGCCACTGGTCTCTCATCGAGAGCACCAAGCTCAGAGAGGGAGGAAAGGGCGCCCGGAGCTTCAGCTCGGTTCGGTGGATGGAACGGCGAGATATGATAATTGACACCGAGGTGAATGAATCGCATTCCCATAGCGGTCATGTGCCAATCGGAAGTGAGGATCGGCCCTGACGCTGTGCTGTCAAATCTTCAATAAAAGCCGCCGCCGTAACCCTTGATGTGACGAACGCAGACTCCCGAGAGCTGTGGTACTTGTTGGCTGAATCCAGTGGCGAATGCGCCAGCCAGGGGGCTGGGACAGCTTCTTCGACAGCAGCACAGAATAAAGCAACGTTTGACTTGAAGTCTTGTGTGGTTTTGCTGTCGCTCGGCAGAGCTGTTATGAGCCAGGACAGGGGGGCCTGCTACGCCACGATCTTCCTGTCAAGTCTGTTTCTCCGAGCTGAGCTAGACGCACGGTTACCTCATTGATGTTGCTGTTGGGAGCAAGGTAGCATTTTTCTGCATCGAAATTTTTGCTTCTCATTTTCTCTACAGCCAGCCTCCTAAACATGTACGTCGCTTTTTGCGCCTCGGCATCCCAACAAGACCCCGAACATGCAACGGGATGTATGTGACCTTAGCTGTCGCATCCTTGCAAAGTCCCGAGCCACGATGGATCGTCCTACATTACATCAGTGGGGTCGTCGTCATCTTTTGAGGGAGCACAGGCCTCGAAGGCCACTGGGCAGCTGAAGTCTCATCGACGGACCGTGGCGCCAATTCCAAACGCGGGCAGCTAGGCCGTTGACAAGCCTGCTAAGGCTGGAGCCAAGGTCAGGCACCTCGACTTGACGTAAGGAGCCCGGACGCTCCCCTTTGACGTCTCGGGGGGCCCGGCGCCAATCGTCCCCAAGGGCGCTTTGTGAATGCGGGAGATCCGCCATTTATCGCCCGCGACCCACCGTTCTCAACCCCTTTTGCCCGCTTGCGCGGACCCAGCCTGCTATTCACCTCACCCACCGACAGCCGGAGCTAATAGGCGCGTTGGGCTTTTCTTGTTTGCATTTGTTTGCATGCTGCGTTGCCGTCCCCGCCGGCCGGCCAGGCCACGCCCCCCCCCCCCCCCCTTGGGATGCCGCATGTGGAACCTGGGCAGTTGTTTGTCTGGACTTGCTTGGCAGAGCCTGCTCCGAGGTGACACGGAGGCTTTATTGGAGGAATCTGCGTGGAGTCGCTCACCAAATTGCAGTCTTTGCCGTAAAGCCCCCTTTTCTCAGCCACAAGGGGACTCCGAAGGGTTTTGATGTTAAGACCTTGATTGAGGATTTTTCAACTCCCTCTTCCTTGTCATGATTCCCAGTAGAGCTGATTGATGATGGACATTTGTAACCTATACCAAGCCGCATATGGAGCCAAGGCGCGGGACATCCGAATAACCCTAAAATCAGCCGAGAAATCGTCCGGCGTACGTCAGGAGCCTCCAAAGCCCGTGTGAATAGCGTCTCGGGTAGGGTGGCTGGATCGAACAAACTAGACCTGTAAGAAACATCAAGTCCGAAGGGGTGAAGTTGGCGGAGCGGACACGCACTGCATGCCATGCCTCACACGGTCATTCTCTGGCGCCTCCCCAACCACAGGACTGAGCAGGTTTCGCGGCGAATAGTATGAGGTTCCGGACAAGGAAGTTCCCAGATGACACTCCTCAAACTCTAAATCATGGGTTGCGAGCCTCTAGACATTCGCCACTCTGAACGCCGGCATGAGATACGCGGTCAGCTTTGTCCGCACAATCAGCGGGCTCGCCCGCAAGGGGCCTCTCCATGGTACGATGAGGGCCGAGAGCGAGCTTCAAGGCAAACCTTAGGAGTATGCGTGCTGGATAGAGGGGGTGATGCCATCCCCAACATGATTATGGGTACCCAGTTGGTCCCCCGAGATTTTCTGCGGACGTTTGCAAACGCAACACCTGTCTTGCCCTCGTCCTGGCTTCCTGGGTTGTAGTGCCTGCTCTCGGACGAATTATCGGACTTACCCCCCTACTGTTCCTTCGTCATCCCATCCAAGGATTTGTTAATGATAGCGTCAAGACAACCGGAGTTGGAGGGCCGCCTTGACTCGTGACGCCAGCACGAACAGCACAGTCGAAGTCTCACCATTTCGCTGTCTCTAATCTCCTGTCAAGCAAATTGGCAGGACATCTCTTACACCTGAACATCTAAACCCTTCACATCAGGTTTCCAAATTGTCGGGAAGGCTATCGAAAGATTTCGCTACCTATTGCTACCCTCGCCGACAAAGATGTCAACACACGTTGTTACTCGGCAAGACTCCGAATGTCTGCCAAGCTGACATGTTGGTTGCACAGACTAGGTATGCAAGTCATACTCCCTAAACTGAACTATACGAAACCAAATCACTAGTCAAGGGCCTGGTACGGTATGCCTCGGCCCATGTACTCGTGCTTGATCATTCAGAAGCTTGATTAGCTAGGCCACATGTCTGGCAGGTTATGAACTTAACATCAGGAGATCACATCGTTCGCCAAGGCTTGGCTGTAAGATGCCGGAAGACCAGATTGTTGATCCAATCAGTTTCGTGTTCCCTTGATGCCAGCGAGGCAAAACGAGCTGCCTATTTGGATCGAAAGAAACAACTAACGATCTATAGTTGCGCCTCTTGTGTCTTGTAGATCTCGTTGTACCCTTCAAGGGATGCCTTTTCCAAAGTCGCCAAGTCGCCGCCCTTGAACCGCTCGGGGTCCAGCGCCCTCCGAACTGCCTCATCGCCATCAATACCATCAATAACTCTGGTCAGGAACTCAGCCGTGCCTGCAGCATGCGTCACCCACACAGCAACGGCCATGTACAAGCCTTTGATCGACTGCACGGCTCCCGCCAGGGCATGTTGTCAGGCGTCATGGAGAAGATGCCGTTGAATTTGACGCCAGCCCGCAGCTGCTTTGACGCCTCGTCCGGCACAAGGCTCGTGGCCGTCGTTAGGGGCGCGTCGAACCCTTGAACCCAGTCGCCGATCGCCGTGCCGTTCGTGAGCTTGCACTCAAGCGGTTGGTGGTCGTACGTGCCAAGGCCGTAACGATCCCCGTGATCGCGCGCATAGACGTGGTGTTCTGGCCAGCGCACAAACGGCATCTTTCTGCCGAGTGATGGTCTAGCCTCACCGTGCAGATACGGGTGTCCGACTGGCACGACAGGGACGACTGGCAGCGGAGTTCCATCCGCAGTCTGGTGCTGGTGGTGGTGGTGCTGCTGCTGCTGCTGGTGTTGTTGTTCACGCGCCAACAGCGTCTGCGCCCAGACGCCGGTTGCCAAGATGACGACGTCGGCGATTAGCTGCCGGCTGGAGGAGACGTTTCCCAGCTCGACACCGGTAGTGCGGCCGTCGGCGATAATTAGGCGGCGGACCTCGGCCTCGACGAACTGCACGCCGTTCGCCTTAGCGCTCTGCTGGAAATAAGCGGTGATGCAGTTGGCGTCGGCTGTCCCGTCACTGGAGAAGCTAAGGGCGGCCCCGGACTCAGTGTCTGACGATCGTACCAGGTCCGGTGCCATCTGACTCGCTTGACGCATGCTCAACAGCTGGGCAGGAAGACCGAGGGCCGCTGCCTTGCTTTGTCTCGATTTGAGCCGCTCGACGCCGGAGATGCTGTGCGCGACCTCGAGGCCGCCGACGGCGTCAAAGCCACCGGGGATCTTGCGGTACTCCGAAACGGTGGCCATGGCGAGGCGCGTGAGGACCTCGGAGTCATTGAACTGGCCTATGAACCCAGGCGCGTGGCCGGTCGACCCTACGAGCGGGCTGAGAGATCGGTCCACCACGGTGATCTGGCGATTGACATTAGAGATGCACAGGAAGTGGGCCAAAGCGGAGCCAACGATGCCCCCTCCGACGATCACCACAGTCTGGGGTGGTTTGATGTGCGACATGGTTGGCAGCTATGGGCAGATGGAACGGCAGTATGCGTGGTCTGATGTTGGTGAGCGAGCCTATGCTGCGAGCTGGCAGCGTATGGCAATTTCGGAATGCTCGATTGTCGATGATGGATGCAACCTTGATGGTGATTCAGTTGCGTCTAAGGCCCTACTATATTGACATCAGGATAGCCCCACAGCCGTGCTCTACACCGTTCAAGACCCGCCTAATTGTCGTACCAAAGGCGCGCCCCTCGTCTACACTTGAGTTATTTCTTGATCGGTCGGAGGGCGCACTAAGTACGTTCCTATCTACACGATCCATCGCGCCCTCCCCCTCAAGTGTTCGACTTTGGGCGAGTCCGACAAAGGCTCGCTTGTCTCACTAAGTGAGAACAATGGCCAGACATTGTGTATGTCCATGGGAATCGACAAGTAACTGCTGTATTCCCAATAGCGGGTCCTGGGGCGTTGTTTGAGGAGGCTCATGTCAAGTCTGGATTGGAGCAGCAAATTCTTATCCGTACATTCAGATGTCTATTGTTTCAAAAAGTGACTGATCTTGCATAGAAGACTGCATTTAGGGTTTGTCCAGGTGGACGAAAGTCTAAAAAGCTTCAAGGCTGACTAGTCCTAGTCATTGTGATCTGCACTCTGAGTCAAATGATCTGGAAATGCGGCTGTGTGTGCTCTAAGCGAAGTAGAGTACCAACATGAATTCACTTCCAGTGTCATGACCTTGACGATGCATCGAATGGACGCAGAGACCCTTGTGAGTGCCAGATCAGCCTCAAGCTATGCTGGGAATGCCTAACGACACTGGGCTGTGGTCAACGTAAGAGGAAGGCACAGATTCAGCCGCGTACAAATTGATTACTGTCGCTGCTCTTTCAACCTCAGACGCCGTTGAGTATCTTGGAACTTTGGGGGGAAAGAACTCAGAACATATAGGTAGACCTTTGAAGCGAATTGATTCATACTCGCGCATGTTTGTACGATTGATGACCCCGGGAAATCGTGCTCATGAAGACAGCACGCGCACCTGTCGTTGAGGGACTACAACAGACAAAGTGGTGATTGCAGCATGGTTGCGGTTGAAATGAAGAGGAAAGAGGGACCTAAGAAGATGATATTCGAGGACCACCCCTTGATGAGATAGCTCTGGCCGCACATGATATGACAGCCTTGCCAATACCATCAAACCATGGTGCAAACGTGTGTCAATAGTTAGTGAGGCCAGTGGCTTCCAATTTCTGATTGTCCAAACTGAGATCCCAATCTCAAGCCCGACGCCGCTCACAGGAGAAAGATCTACACATGCGACCGTGGTTATCTACCTTCCAGGACTCACTGCCAACGCCCGCGACGGCGTACAAAAGTCCCTCGGGATCAATTTTATTCTTTATTCGAAGCAGTTCCGGGTAATTCTCTCCGAAGAACGTTTCTTGCCAGTCAGGCTGCTGAAAGTCCGCCTCATTCATGTAGGCCCCGGCTCCGGGTGTGGCAGCCTCAATGACAGGCTGCACCTCGTTCGTGATGCGATCCTGAAGTGCAACCATCTCTTCGAAGGGAGCCCCGAAATCCCAAGGGAGAGTCAAGGAGACCTGCACGATGGAGTCCCGCCACTGGGGCAAGACGGCGTTGATGTTGTTCTTCCCGAACGGCGAAACGTTCAGACCAACGCCAATGAAGACAACACCGAGCTCTACGAGCTTTCTGGTCGTAGGCGCGAAGTCTGGCAGAACTTTTCGAGGCAGCAGTCGACCGCCGAAGAGGTCTGTCCCTACTTGAATGTTGCCCGAGGGTAGCGGGCCCCAGTAGTGGTTGTAATGGTCGGCGTAGCTGCTGAACTCAGTGTACGCCACTTCGAGCTCGATACCGAGCCCAGCGAGAGAAGTGCTGAACGGCGCCAGAATTTGCTCGGTCTCCTCCCTTTTCTTGTCGTACGCAGTGAGGGCTGCAACCTGGAAGAAACCTGGGCCGAAGAAGTAAATGACCATGACACCCGCGTCGACAATGTCGGGCAGTGCAGCATGGAAGGCGTCTACGACATCGTACAGAAGCTCCGATTGATTCGACGGAATAGCCACTGCAAAACGAGCGCCGCTGACCTTGGCGTCAGGGTGAACTCGGACAACCATGGATACCACGACGCCAAAAACGCCGCCGCCACCACCACTCAGTGCCCAGTACAGGTCTTGGTTTTCGGAGCTCGAAGCGGTTACCAATTCTCCCGAGGGTGTTACCACGTCGAAAGACAGCGCATTGTCCGCCGCTAGACCAAAGATCGAGCTCAAGGCAGAGTGTCCTCCGCCCTGGGTGTATGCGCCCGCGAGACCAACCGTGGGACATTCTCCGGTCACAACCGTGAGACCCTCGCGACGGGCGACTTCAATGGCCTCAAACCCCTGGACCCCAGCGCCTAGCTTCAAGGCCTTGCCGACGTACTGACCATCGTGCCAATCGATAATCTCCATGTCTTTAAGGTGATGTATCCAAACAGATAAAGCACCAGCTCCGGTTGACCGGCCGTGGTAGTCGTGTCCGGTGTTCCTGATTACGAACCTAACGTTCTTTTCTTCAGCAAATCGCAGCGCAGCGATGATATCTTCCGGCCCTGAAGCATCAACGGTGTACACCACATAATTTCCCAGCTCACATGGAGCATCTCGCGGCTGAAAGGGATCGCAGCTCTGATTGGCGAACAAAGGCGCCATCACTGATGAGGATGATTGAGAGCTGGCGTATAGGTCAGTTTCATGGATGGACACAACCTCAAATTCAAGACCGACAGGTGCATAAACTCACTGGACTGTCGAGAAACGCCACTCCTCTTGGAGACGAGCGCATTCCGCTTCGTCATAGTCCTTCCCGTGACATGCATTAGCTAGTGGTACTGTTGCAATCAGTCTGCCCCCGACGGTTTCGTTCAGTCGGTTCCATTCTGACTTCATAGGCCAGCATGTATCCCCAGGGAGACATTTGCAAGAGCCTTCATCAAAGAGACGTCGTGATGAGAGTTGAAGCCCCGATCCAGCGACAATACTGAAACAAAGGGCGAATCCGATCAATGTCAACTGCATTTCAGATCAATCAGCAGAACATGTCGTCCTGTGTTTTTGGTAAAATGGACTGTGATCCTGCAGGTTGGGAAAAAACAATCTTGATTCTCTTCGCCAAGACTTCGGTTCAGGATCGGCAGCAAACATCCTGGGCTGATCCTTCATACGCGTATCTATCTCGCCCTGTAGGAGCCCCTGACATGTAGGTCAGGGGTGAGACGACAGCTGGCAAGGCCTTGGCCCTCAGTGGATTTATGCACATCGAGGTGAGCACACCGCCCGAGGAGCGTCAATCATCTCCTAAACAGCACAAAAGTCCGGTTTAGGCGGCGATATTATTCACATTCAGCAATCATGTGCCTCGCCACGGCGGTCCCGCCTCAGACAAGAATCAGTGACGACCACTAACCTTTCAGACCATAGAGACTTTGAGTCACGAGCATCCAAGAAACATGCAAACGAAATTTCAATTAGGTAGACCAAATACGGTACTCGAAGAACAGGAGACAGTTCGCAGATATTGCCAACAGATTGTGGGCAGCATGACCAAACGATCCCAGAGTGCGACCCTCATGACCTTCTGTCGCGCATATAAACTCACTTCACACGAGTGCCCTTTTCTCAGAAACCCCCGTTCGGATGGATGAGAACCTTCGTGTAACCATCGATTCTCTTGTCGAACTTCTGATAGGCAACTTCAACGTCATCGATACCAATCTCATGAGAGACAACGAAGCTCGGCTTCGCCTTGCCTGCAACAATGAGATCTCTAAGATAGCGGTTATAATGTTTGACGTTGCATTGCCCGGTGGAAAGACTCAGGCCCTAGTTTGTGTTAGCTAGAATTGGTGACTATCTGCTATTTCTTCCGACTTACCTTCTCAAACAGCTTTCCGAAGCTGAGGCTGATCATACCCTTGCCCGATGCATCATCAGGCGCGCCAGGATCACTACGAAGCTCTTCGTCAGCGGTCATTTCAGCGCTGTTGTATAAGCATGGTATACCTGGGCACGTAAAGGCCGGGGATTCCCATCCCACCGCAAGCCCTGGTGACGCGAATCATGCTCTCAAGAACGATATTCGGCTGCTCCTTCGAGCCGCCTTTATCAACCGCTTGGTAGCCAACAGCGTCCACGGACCGATCGACCATACCATCGTTCGCCTTGATGATCTGATCCACTGGGTCACTGGAGCTAAAGTCAATGGGCACGCATCCGATCTTTTCCGCTGCCTTCAGGCGCTCAGGAACACGATCGACAACATAGACGCGTGAGGCACCACGTAGTACGGCAGAGTAAGCCGCCATTAGCCCGACGGGGCCAGCGCCGAAAACTGCAATGCTTTCGCCGGGCTTGAAACCGGATAGTTCGACACCATGCCATCCTGCCCATGTTAGCACGCAGAAATGCAGATTAGTGGCTTCAGTTGCGGGAGGGTACCTGTTGGGAAGATGTCTTGTGTGTGCGCCCAATTAGTAAAGGTCTCAGTAGTTACATCTTTGATGCTCTAGCTCTCACCTGCAAGCAGAATAAAGTCTGACTCGTTCTCCTTGCCTGCCGGTAGCTTCAAGGCATTGAAGTCGGCATAGGGTACTCGGATATATTGTGCTTGCCCTGTAGAATACAGCTTAATAGGGGCGCATCATAACACAGATTCATCAGACTCACCACCGCGGTAAGGCCCCATAGACACGTAGCCTGAAAAGTCAGTATCAAATGGTCGAAAAGGCTTCGAATAACATACCATATGCCCCTCCTGCGAACCCAGGGTTGACACCAGTGCAGAAAGCAGTGCGCCCTTCCTCGCAGTTTCGGCAGCGGCCGTCAGCGACATTGAACGGCATTACAACGCGATCACCCTTTTTCAGAAGCGTCACGCCTTCTCCCAACTCCTCAACAATCCCCATATTCTCATGGCCTGCCTTCAAGTCAGCTTTCCAGTAATGAGATGAGGTGACTAGTGTCACACCAACCAAAGGTGATACCGGGCTCAGCAGCCGTTCTGCCCTCGTACATACTGCGGATGTTGATTAGAGGTCTTCCAAGACAACCTCCCCCATCCCCCCTACTCACTGCAAGTCACTACCACAGATCGCTGCCTGTAGATTTATTAGGTTTCTCCATTAATTACGGTCGCAGTGGGCCATCTTTACCGTTGTGACTTTGACGATGACATCATCGGGATGCTCTAGCTTTGGCTTCTCAACCTCTTGGACCTTGACCTCGAACGGCCCTTGGTAGTTCACAGCCTTCATGGTCGTCATATCGTACGGATTGCTTGAGGGGAGTCAGTAAAATTCGGAAGAACATGATGGGGGGACAACAGACACAGAACGTCCCTGGACACCCCTTCTTATTGATGTTTCCAGTCGACTCTACCCCGCGTTCGATAAACGGACTGGTAAGCATGACGGGAAGTCCGGGCGACAAATCTCGGGTTTCGCCCGGCGTTCTGTCCCCGCGATGACGCTCTTATTCCTAATTTAGAGGCTTGGCTGCACCAATCGTGGGGAACAAAACGCGGGGAAGATGGAAGAGAGGACGAAGGATGTCCCGGCATTTGGAATCACACGCTGAACTGTGGGGAAAGGGACATTATAGTTCGTGCTGCCACGAGGCTGCTGCGCCAACAAGCTCGAGCAGTGCGCAAGTCGGCCGACAGAATGGCGGCCATGCCTGTGGAATGGTCTGGCCCTGGGGCTGAGGCGCAATGTGGCAGCACCGATCTGCACATGATAATAAAGGTGTGGTCGTGACGAGGGTTCGGGTCAAAAAGAAGCTAGTTAGCCGGTGCACCTTCAATACATACCGGTGTAGGGCCGGTTGAGATGCTAGAGTTTTCGCTATCCTCTACGTTGACCTGGCTTCTTGAGCTGCTAAAATGGTTCGTTGAAGTGAGTGGGAACTATCAGCATGTCTATCGTCGACAATCTACCATCGTGGAGCTTCGACATGTCCAAACTGGGGTCGCACTACGTGATCACACTATGAAATATTTCTGGTGGCGTGGAATGGCCGTGGAAAAGGGGGGAACGTGAAGCTACACCTAGAAATAGCCTGTACCTTCATTGCAAATGCTGGCAGTACAAGTGACCAATGACCTTCCTGTCAACCGCCGAATAGAGCTGAAGTATGGAAAAAACCAAAAACGTCGATTATTGTAGAGATACTTCAATGGCGTACGTGTCGTGACCCTGAGTAATGTATCCAATGAAACCAGACCCAAACGGTATCCTTACGCAAGTCATGTGTTCCGTCATGATGACTTCTTTACCAGAAAGAAATAGAGAAAGCGAATTCGCCTGCTGTTGACTAAATCCGGCTCAAGCCTGTGCCTTCTCGTCATGAGAGACCATGCCCTTGATCTCATTATCATCTGACGCTCGATCTCTCTTCCGTGGCGCCGAGATGGCGCTGGCCAAGTCTGGGTAGAGGAGCACGGTGCCTGTCTGGATGTCTTCGTTCGCAGTGGCATCGGCGTCAAGTACTAGCCACTGCGCTCTCTCGAATCGCTGACGGACGTAAGGAGACATTCCAACGAACCGCAATTCCACATTGTCCCCACCGTACTTGCGAACGCTGGCGGCAAGATTTTTCAAATGACTGATGGCGGTGAAGTCGATGTGATTAACCCTCGCAAAGTCGAGGACGACGAGACCAATTTCGGGCAACGACGTGGGATCATGGATGCCAGCCTTCTTCCGGAGCCTTCCAACGCGTTTCTCGCCAACGACAGACCAGTTGCGCTCGGTCTCGGGTCCGTGGCTGCCATTATACACGGGCGCGTGGAATGTTTGAATGTCATCCAGTACACGAGATGTGTTACTGAAAGCGTTGGGGAAGAAAAGCGATTCGTTGAACCTGAAGACTCGCGTGTCCTCGGGCAGGTTCCTCGGAACTGCGCTTGATGCATGCAGTGCGCGAGCAAGCTCGGACTGGGATTGAGAAGATCCGCTTGACGAGAGAGTTGTGAAGACTTGGCGCAACAGGACATAGACGATGTTGAAGCCGACGGCAGCGCCGATTCCGATTTCAGTAGAAACAAAAAGCGAGACCCAAAACGCAATCATGGAGGAGATGAAGTCAGCTAAAGAGGTCTTCCAATATCGGTAAAAAGTCGACGGCGGTGAGATCAGGGGCCACACGGCCGTGATGATGATCGCAGCTAGTGTTGCTTTGGGGATCCAAAACAGCGTTCCGACCAGTTCATACACGCAGATGAGGACCACCGCCATGGTAACGAGACCGGACAAGGGTGATTTGACATTGCAAGAAGAGTTGACAGCTGTTCGCGACATGGCGCCGCCGACGCCCATGGCGTGAAAGAAGCTGTTGAAGAAATTGGTTACGCCGAAGTAGCAAAGCTCTTGACTTTGGTCTGTCGTGTACTGATTCCTGACTGCAAAGGCACGGGCAATCGCTGTATGTTCCACTGCTGCACCGATGAACACTGCAATGCTGCGGCCGGCCACTTCTGGGATCAGATCCTGGCGCGGGAAGGTGGGTGCTTGTTGGCCATTGGCCTTGACTTCGACGACTTCAAACAGGTACTCCGACCTGTTTTTGTTCACTCCATAGCTGACCCCAGTGAAAAGTACGAGGGTCAGAAAGGCTCGGGTGATGGAGAGCAGCCATATAGTCTTGTTCTTCTTCCCCCACCGCTTCCCAGCTTGATCAAGGAGTGTCAGGAAAAGGATGCCTGAAAACCCGATGAGACAAGCCCATCCATTTGCGTTGGGCAACTGGTTAAAGATGTCGTGGATCTGGGTGGCAGCGCCGTCGCCGACGTTGTCTTCTCCCAAAAGAGAGTCCATCTGATTCAGGATGATCGTGATGGCGACTGCGGAAATGAAACCGCTGAGGACGGGCAAGGAGATAAATTCCAAAAGAAACCCGAGCTTTAGGAAACCCAGAATCATACCGTAGACACCCATCATGAGCGCTGTAGCTGAAGCGATTTCTGATGGTGTCCATCGATCTTGTAGGGCGTGAACGTTCTCGGATGTGAGGAGACCAATCAGTGAAGTTGGTCCAGTTGACAGGTCTTGGCACGGGGGTTAGATGTATCTTGGCATATCTCCTGGCGATGAACCATACCTTTGGTGGTTCCCATGAAAGCATAAACGGCTGCGGGGAGCCAACTCGACATGAGACCATACTCAACGGGGATGTCTGCAATCTTGGCGTACGACAGTCCCTGGGGAATGAGCATCAGACCAATGGTCAGGCCCGCAATCAAATCATTAACGATCCATCGTGGATTGTACCGAGGAAGCCACCCGATGATTGGGAACTTCTCGACAACGTAATGGACTGAAGCAGAGGGCAGGGCGCGAGCACCAGACGCTCCAAGACGTCCAACTCGGTTCCAAGTCACGTCAGTTCTGACATCGGCCTTGATTTTGTCTAAGACCTTCATGGCTAAGACGATCGGTTTGAGAAGACAAATGTAAACGTGAATGAAAGAGACGAGTAGACGACAAGAAGGTCTGTAGCCTGCCCATTCAGCATGAGCCGGGAGGCCTGGGTGGGCTTTACATATGTGAGCCTCTTCGTTACAGACCTTCTGAAAGCGGACCTGCGGCCGCTTCCTGACGCGTTGCTAGCTTGAATCACTCAACCCTACGCAGCGGATACTCAGGCTGACGTCGCAGTGTCGCATGGACTTGTTGCATCGATCAATCTACAAAGACTGGTATCTAACCGGCCTACTTCGGTCTTCGGGATCGTCGACTTGTCACTAGATAAAAGCTCGAAGGGTGTGCATGGTGCAGCATGTCGAAAAGAGAGAGATGAGAATGGATGCCACACCAGTCTCATCACCGAATGCAGTGTTCTGGTGGTGTAGGGTGAGTGGTCACCAGGCAGTACTCTCCGGCATGTTCGCGGTAGAGAGGGGTAAGCGAATCAAATGTGTACAACCTCGTGAAACGAGGGGGAGATACATGATGCAACAGGACGGCACCCAATGATCAGGCAGGTTGCCAATGGTACAGTCTGGGTGAAGTAATCCATGGTTTTTGGTGTGCAATCGGCCGAGTCCTAAAATGCCGTCCAACCGGGAGTTCTCCGCAAGTAACGGTCTGTGGCCCACACCAGGGTGCTTAGTTGAACGGGAGGAACTAGGCTTGATCCTCGGCGCCCGCAGTCGTACTGGGGTTCTTGATTTTGCTGCTACCCATGGCGCAGGTCTAATTTGGTTAGCGCCCTTGCCGCTCTTGCTCCGGCTCGGCTCAGTCCAAGCTCAGGCACGCCTCAGTCACAGCGAAATATGCAGGTTGTGCACAAACAACTGCTGGAACGGTCTTACAATTCAAACAGTAGCCATGTTCTATATTTATGGGCTTGTCGAGGCTTTCGGTGTACTGGGTCGATGAGTCACATGGGTGGCCTCCCGAGGGGATATATCCATGTCGAAAGGTCGGTGTACCCTGATACACCCTTTCATACGAGGAAGATCCAGGAAAGGGGCTAACAAGCCGGGGCCAAAAATACACGCACTCCTTAAAAGTGAGTCTACCTCAAGTGGTTATACCTATACCTCATAGTGCCCTTAAACTAATAAGAAAACAACCTATTATGAAAGGTACGCCCAAGGACTGACTAGAGAAAATCTCAGGTTGCTCTGTTCAGGTTGAAAGTGCTAAGAGCTTTATAAAGTTAAGATTTCTTATGGGTGGTACTTGTCCTAGGCAGGTTTGGAATGCGATTCTTTCTGGACACCCTGTCGGCCGACATAACACTTGTTTGTGGACTGGCATATAAATAGAATCTTCCCATCTTGTTCGGCCATACTTCTTTACCTCCAGGCTCCATTCAACGCGAGAACAAAGAATGTTAAGAATTTTAAACCCAGCAGCGCATCGTAGGTCCCCGGCCCTGAAGCGATGCGATCCGGTTCACCCCCCTCCACCCTGTCCTGCACAGCTTTTGACTGGAAGGGCTTGCCCTTCGATATTAGAGCCAACATTTTGAAGGTAGGGACCGAAAAGGATATTCATTCGGTTCCGAAAGCGAAAATTCGCCGCCTCACTTCTTACTCTTCAGTCTGTAAAGGCTGGCAAAGATTCTTTGAGGGTGAGATTTGGCACTGCCTAGTCCTGACTCAAACATGCCTACCCGAGTTTGAAAGAATTACCAAACTCTCACCGCACCGAAAAGGCTATATCCGGGACATCCATCTCCGGATCGAGCTCCACAGATACACTTGTACAACGTGCACCTCATTTAGGAAGCCGTTGCAACAGAAGCTGGACAAACAGACATTCCAGGATGCCATCTTTCGTCTGTTCTCAATCCTTAGCACCTGGGGGGCACCTCTTGTCACCGGAATACTCCTCGAAATCAACGCCATCTCGTCTAGCGATAGGGAACATATCTTCCAGGCCGATGTTCATCTTGATACAGAGGACTTTTCGCGGTGTATAATCCAGACAGACATGACTGAGCCGCATAACCCCTGGCATGGATGGTCCCGCGGTCGCCGGACGGAGCCCCTTAAGCTTGGAGCACTGCTGAAGGTGTTCAGCTCCGGTTTGTACTCTGAGTTTCGGGACTAGCTACTTCCCCAGGTCCCAGTGATCCAGACCCTCCTTATTCGACGACAGACCCGACGCATGATCGGAATCGATGCCTTGCAAAGCGTCTTACAAAGCTTGCCTCGACTCGAGATATTAATATTCGAACCCTGGCGAACATTTTGGCGGTCTACCTCTTGGGGTTATGATGTGGACAAAGGTACGTCTTTCCCACCGCAAACCTGATAAGTATAGCACTAATTTTAAGACTAATACAACGGCTTAGCAGTTTGCGTCGAGATCATCACACATTCTCTTCCACAAAGCCTCACGAGTCTCATTTTATCTGAGGATTTCAATGAGGACTTTAACTTGTTTTCCATCACGACGAATTTTCCAATGATGGTTCTTCCGTCCGGAGCTTGTACGCAACGCCGTCCCCAGCCCTTGGGCTTGC